CCTCCTCCTCCTCGTCCTCCGCTCCCAGAGCGACGCTCCCCTGCCACCGCCCCCCCCGCCCCTCCCCCACTCGCCCCGCCCCTCCACACACTCCGGCTCCAGCCCCGCCCCGGGCCTCATAGCAAGCCTGGCATTCGCTAGGAGGAATAGATGGGCGGAGCTAGAGCAAATGCATTTGTCCAATCAGAGGGAGGTAGTGCTGCCAGTTTCCCTTTCCCCGCCCTTTTCCTTTCCTCCGCGGCTGTGAGCGGTCTCCCGCCCACTGGGCGCCGCTGGCTAGCTCGGCCACAGAGAAAGCCTCCAGCCGGGTAGAGAAACAACTCCCAGGCGGAAGTGACAGTGGAAGGCCAGACAGCCATAATTGATAATGGCAAGAGGCGTTTCCTGTCTCTCGTTTGACGTACGCACGTTTCCTTCATTCCGTCCCCGTTACCCCGGGCAACAGCGGAGCCGTCTGGGAAGGAAGGAACTCGTAAGTATACCTACAGGAGAGATGACCAGTCAGTCCACAGTAGACGAGTTAAATTCATACTCAGGAACCACAGGCTTTGTTTTCAGGCCTTTTACTGAGACGCCTGATCACTTACCTAGAAGAAATAACTTAGAGCTTCAAAACTCCCTCGCGCCGGAAGTTGCGCTTGGCACTTCCTAGTAGGGTCCTAGCCAGAAGGTGGGTGTAGTCGCCCCAACCTGCGCCCCAGGGGGTGCCGCCTCTCCCAGAGTTGAAGAGTGAGTTGAGTGCTCCCCGTCACCTAGTGCGGGCCGGCCAGGCAGGATGAACCGCGTGCAGGGAGCTCTGAGAAGACTAGTAGGTCCTAGGGCCGCTTCCGCTGGCGGAGGGTTTCTTTCCGGCTGGTAGGGCGGTGGCCAGCCTTCCCTCCGCCCCTCTGAGGTTCCCTGGAGGGCTAGGCTGCCCGATACTCCACCAGGCTGACCAGAAAGCCGACCCGGCAGCCTAGGTCCCTAGCAACTGCTTAGCTGAGCTCCTGACCACGCCTCCACGAGTTCCTATGAAGTACAGTACTCCCTGACCTTTAAGGACTGTATTTCAGGATCAAAAAGGAATCAATTCCCATCCCAACTATCAAAGAAAAAGGTGACTTTCCCACCGCCAGTTTTCATCTTTTTCTGGCTTCCCTTCCTGGACTGTTTGTAAGGATATACTATACTGTAGTAGTCGTGAGTGTCTACGATTTATCAAACAACTTAATGCTTGTGAATATTCTTTAAAAAAAAAACACTTTAAAATGTTGTATGTGTCTCCAAGAAATTATATAATGCAGTTCCTTCTGTAGGCTTTTTGAGTCAAGAAGTCAGTCATTCTGTATCTACAGATTGAATAGTAAACTACAAGAAAAAGATAATTTTCAGGTAAATTAAGAATTGCTTGTATCTAACCAATGGATAACCTATGTGCCAGGCAAAAAAAATGAAGTACTTTTGTCTTCTCTGAAGTTTTTTAGTCTGTTGTCACCTTTTGTGAGTTTTGTGCCCATGATTCTGTAATCCTTGGAGATGGGTTTCCAAATCTCTCCAACAGGAAGTGATTTCCCCCCAAGCTTGTATAGCACTTTTAAAAATCATTTATTTTTATGTGTGTTCGTGTTTCTCCAGCATGTATGTCTGTGAAAGTGTCAGATCCCCCAGAAACTAGACTTATAGACAGTTGTGAGCTGCCATGTGGGTGCTGGGAATTGAACCTGGGTCCTCTGGGAGAGTGGGAAGTACTCTCAACCCCTGAGCCATCTCTGCAGCCCTCTATAGCACTTCTTGCATGTCTTATAATAGTCATTATTTAATGTATCTGCTGCTTACATATTTTTAACCTCACAACTGTGCTTATGCATGAATAAAATGGTTTGTGTGGGATTCGCCAGCTCTACATCTAATCATGCACTTATAAAACGTTCCCTCGTTAGCTCTGTTCTGGATGTCTGAGACACTCCTAGCAGTGGTACTGTTCTGCACTGTATCAAAAATTGAGCGTAGTCCCCAATACTGAGTGTTTTCTTAGGTCTACCCTTTGAAATCTTTACAGCATGACCCCCCCCATCTGTTTCATTGTGAAAATGTGCAGACATTGCAAAGCTAAAAGAGCTAGGTGTGATGCACCCAGGAGGCTGAAGCAAGAGGATCTCAAGTCAAAGCTGCTGGAATACATAGTGAAATCCGATCTCCAAAAGGAGGGTGAGCTAGAGACTGTACAGTTATGCATCATTTACTTATATAGAATACTTGTTAACATTTTGCTATATACACATTTCTTTCCTCACATTCCTAACTTATTACTATTTAAAAATTGATTATAGGTCTGCTGTTAAGACACCCATAAGATTTCCTATATAAATTTCCTAAGAATTTTGAAATAGAGAAACTGAAAAATACGGTATCATTAAAATGAATAAAATTATCCGTTTTCTGAAGTAAAATACAAAGAATATACAAATCAAAATTCTGTCAAAACTTTGTAACGTACATGGACATTACCAATCTTTAACTTTAGAATTGTCCCATCTTCTTCCCCTCTGTGACATGGGCATTTTAAAGAAGTCAACCAGAAGTATTGTTGAAAATGGATCCCTTGGGGCTGGAGAGATGGCTCAGTGGTTAATAACATTGCCTGATCTTCCAAAGATCATGAGTTCAATTCCCAGCAACCACATGGTGGCTCACAACCATTTGTAATGAGGTCTGATGTCCTCTTCTGGCCTGCAGGCAGACACACAGAATATTGTATACATAATAAATAAACATTTTTTTTAAAAAAAAAAAAAAGAAAATGGATCCTTTTCCTTACTTCATGTGGACCTAGAAGTTCAAGAATCAAGAGGCTTGATTAAGCTTCTTTCTTGTACATGACTATGTAACAGTATTATTTTTCCAGTTGTGTTCTCAAATGCAACTACATGTACCCTTGCCATGTGTTACTAGTCCATCCCATTTAGCATGCTGAAAGTTTGACATTTAACTTGTCTGTGTCTATAGAGTGTTTACTAGTACTCTGGGCTGGCAATATAGACTGTCTCCCTTTAATAAATGTTGCTACTTCGCCTATGCTGGAAGCTGATGCAATGAAATCTACAGCCGAGTATACTGATGTCAGCATAGTTTCTTGAGTTTCAAGTCCTGGCACCCTGTGGACTGCTGTTGAAAGACTGTAACTCTGTAATTCAAATACACAATCTTGATGTTATCATAGTGGATACCACAGCAACTGTGGTCCATCTGGCCACAATCCAGTTTAGGCAATGTTATTTTCTCCCTGAAATTCTTCTGCAAGATCTAATTGGTCCTGTTGTTTCTATGATAGCTTTTTGGTAGTAAGCATTGCCTATTAAAAATTGCAAAACCAAGATTATACTTAACACTGAGTTCATTAGTAACATCCTCTGCCCGATGGATAGCAAACTGTGGAATTTAGTTGATAATCACAAGAGGGAAACTCCCAAGAATGCACCCTACACTTACTTTTCATCTTGAAAGTGAAAAGAAATCTCTTAGGTTAGTGTAGAATGTTTTTAGCTATCATACGAAAGTTAAAATAACATGTTTCAATAGTTATTTTCTTTGTATAGGAGGAAGTGTGCTCATATATGATTGTGAAACAATTTTAGCTTGGTACTAAATTCAAGAAGGCTAAATGATATAGTAAAGACTAGGTTTTAGAATCAGACCTAAATGGAATATGACCATTCACTTGTAAGTGTCTGTGGTTGTTTAAAACTAAATTTGAACAGAATTTAAATATTATGTAAAGTACTTTAGCTTGCCTCACAGCTCACACAATGTGGTCACAGTATGATGGTTATCTTCTAAAGCAGTATAATTTAGGCACATATTAGGCATTAAATGTTTAAAGGTCAATGAGATACACAGTTTTCCAAATTTAATGTCAAAAACATAAAAGATTCTAATTCATTGATTCTGGAGAACTTTAGAAAAAGTGTATGTTTTTAATAATAAAGCACGATTTTTATGCACAAAATTGGATATTTGAGGAATGAGCTTTAGAAAGCAATGTAAACTATCAAATAATTTTTTTCTTACTTACTATGGAAATAGCTAACTAGTTATCTCAGCTACTAATTAACTTTTCACAAGACTAAAAGTTAATATTTTTAAAAAATGTCACCTAGAACTGAATTTTAAAACAGGTTATTAAAGAACAGTATTTTACATGAGATGAATATGAACTTAACAGTGGTATATGTTATTAAAGTCTCCCAGTGCCTATGACATCATCCAGATTCCCCCAGAAACAGTTCCTGTTCCTAGGCTTAGGCACATCTCAGAAACTAGACACCACACATTTTATTAACATTAGTCTGAGTTAATTAGCCAAACTGAGCATGTTGCAACACATTTATACTAGCAGATGCCAGCTAGCAAAGCAGAATAGAATCTACTATGTCTCCAACTGTCTGATATCTGATGTCAGTTGGCTTCTCCACATGAATGCTATCAGTCCACACTCTGCTGGCAGATGAGCATTTGCTTGAGTAAAAGTGGGTGTTTTACTCATTACTACTGTACAACTGCTTGGAAGCATTCGTTCAGGGCTCACTCTCACCTTTTCCTTATTAGCTTACACTGGACAAGCTATATGGGACTGGAGGTGTAGCTCAGTGGCGAATGTCCAGTTAGTATACAAAAGGCCCTATTTGGAAGAATTTAATACCCATTCTTCCAAAATCTATGTTTTTGAAACCTCATCATTCAACTTCAACATTTGAATAAAACAAGATTTTGTTCCTACAATTCTGTGCCGTGCCCACTTGAAACTGCACCAGCCAAACTGAATTTACTTTAAGAGAGCTAACTTGATGAGTATTTACAAAAGAATTTATTTTAAAAGCCCTAACAATGAATATCCTTTATATAATAGGATTGCTTCTGGTGGTTCAATATCTAGGATTTGAATCTTAGTTCCTAGTAGGCCAGATCCCGTGGTTTTCACCAATCGCACCAGCTCTGCTGGAGGATGAAACAGGGGTATTACTTGAGCCCAGGAGTCCCAAACCAACCTAAGCAACTGCATCCCAATCCTGTCTCAAGAGGGGGAGGGGAAGTTGGAGAAATGACAGACATTAAAGACTAGGTTTCCATCTTTTAAAAAAAAATTAAACAAAAGTCTATCCCTGCACGACTGGCACATTTAGACAATTTGTCGTCTAATATATTGCAGTGGCTCAGTATTTTATTGCAGGTCAATGTTAGATGTGCTTAACAGCTGAGCTGATAAGAGGAGGGAAGCAGTGGGAATCCTAAGGACTAGGAACTGGAGAGTACATGTTTATCAAATACTTCCAAATACAGCTAAAATCTGCAGGTTTTCAAAATTATTCAAACACTTTTTAAACATCCAGCAGACCAGAATAAAAAATTAAGCTAGTCTGGGACTATAGGGCTCCAGCATTATAATGTCCATATTTCATAAAAACATTAGGACTTTAAAGAGTCACAAAATGCTTTAGAGCACTATTGTAGGCAGAAGCTGCTTGTTTGCAAACGCACAGACCCGAGGTAATCACACAGAAACATATTAATCGCAATACTGTTTGCCCAATAGCTTAAGCATATTTCTAGCTAGCTCTTACATCTTGAATTAACCCATTTCTATTATTTTATATTTTACCACGAGACCCGTGGTTTACCGGTACGGTACCTAGCGTCTTTCTCCTCCAGCAGCTACATGTGTCTCCCTGATACCACCGCTCCTCTATCTGCTTAGAATTCCCATCCTGCCCCATTCTGCGCTGCAACAGGCCCAAAGCAGCTTCTTTATTAACCAATGGTATTTACAGCATACAGAGGAGAATCCCACATCACACTATTACTTCTCTTGGTAAGAATCAAGTCACTTGTCATCTCTGTCAAAGATTCAAGATAGATTTTTAACATACAACAGATTTCTGTTCCCTTGGTTACACTTCGTATAGGCTTCTACTCTTCACTGCTCACTTAAAACCTTTCACGTGATTTCAGCCTCAAGTTGTAGATATTATAAAATACATTTGCTTTATCACACATTCTAAAAAACATTTAAGGATACAACTTGGCAGTGCATGATGCTTTAAATTTAAATAAGTAAAAAATGTTAAAGAAAAACACTTAAATAAATCATGCTGTCATATTTATAGGGAATACAATGTCTACAAAAATTCAAAGGTCTTGGGACTTAGAAGATCCCTTAATGGTAGTGTAGAGCAAGTCCATTGTGGCATAAAAAAGATTGACCTAGGATAGTAAACCATGCTGAATTTCTAGGCATTTGTCTATCTGCTCTTTATGTGGAGCTTTTAATTTTGGATAGATATTGAAATATGAAGTATGTTTTATATGAGGAAACAAAGCTGCATAATGGTTAAGGAATGTATTCAGGGTCACACAGCTAAGTTAACCATCAGTATAACTTAGGTACCTCATTTAAAGTAGATACATGAAACAGCAAAAACAGCTACCTAGTTAGCATAGAGTACAACCCTATATGTAAATAAATTTATATTTATTTATATAAATGTAAATAAATTACTAAAAGAAAATTTTTACCTCAAGTTGTTTTCCGAAAGCTTTTGTTGTCATGGCTTGTTTGAAACACACAGAACCCCTAAACACCTCTGAAGCATTCCATTTCATACTTTAGAGATGGGTTTTCTATAAATTAGGATAAGCTGATGAGTTTATTTAACACAGGGAGAAGAGTGATAGTGAAGACCAAATAACAGGGATGGTGAGCAATATAAGGAGAAGACATTTTCCTATGGAAGTGACTTCTAATACAAAACCAAATATTTCTGTGAGCTAGAACAGTTTTAGAAATGGATCCAAATCCTGGCCTGGCTCTTGATTTTTATGGTTCTGATCCATAAAAATCTCCCCTTCTACCACTTCTGTGACCACAGCTTCCATTTCCCAGATAGCTAGACAAAGATATGAGCTAAAAGCTTATAGCCCTGTCTAGCTATTTAACATATTGCATATCTGCTCCGAATGTGACTGCTCTATGGCACATTCTTTTAAAACATAGTAACTTAGGGCTGAGACTCCATGGTAGAGCACTTGCTTATCACATGCAAGACCCTGAATTAATCACCAGCACTGGGGGAAGAAAAATCTATAAATAAAACCCATGCTGTTTTCAGAGTGCTATCAAACATAACATCTAGACTACTCAATCTAAAAATTAAGAAAGATCACTCACGTGCCACATATATTGTCTGTGACAGTTGTGAAAGAGAAGTATAGTACTTGTTTGTATGCCATAGTTAATTTTTAAATATATACACATTCCTGAGACTGACTCATTTTTACTTTAATTTCTAACAATATTAATGACTTCAAAGATGACCATTCCAATAGATTGTGAAGAGTGTATTACTCTTCACCGATAGTCTCGTCTCTTTCTAACATCTTAAATATCTGTGTTAATGGGCTTCCAAGCTATTTGCCCAGATGTAGCATAGAGAAAACTGCAAAGAGGACCAGGTAATGGATTGTGGCAGATGATAGTCCAAGTCCTTTTTCTTCATTAACAACTATATAATCTTAGACATGATTACTTTTTTCGAGCCTTTCACAGTTTGCTTTTACATATTGGGGGATGAATGCGAGGTGGGTAATTCAAGTTTTCTTACTTGTTTTTTGGCTGTACCCAAAGTAATTTAAATTATAAAATTGCCTTCTGAGGTTAAAAAAAAAAATTTACGTGCACACACATTCTGCTCAAATGTCTTAACACATACGACTTTCTTCTAAACAGTGACGTGAAGTTAAGGTACATAAATATATTAATTTTTTTTCAAGACAGGGTTTCTCTGTGTCGCCTGGCTATCCTAGAACTCAGTAGATCAGGCTGGCCTTGAAGTCAAGAGATCCTCCTGCCTCTACATCCCAAGTGCTGGTATTAAAGTCTTCCACCATCACCACCCAGCTAGATACATTCAAACTAATCTGTGTTTAAGATCATTACTAAGAGAGTATGACTGTACAGAGCATGACGGAGTCTATAGCCATACCACTGTAAAACACTGACCTCAGAAGGCAAGCAGGTTCTGACCTGGTTGACAGATGATGGGTGAATAATTCTGAAATGTTCCTCCTTACTGGTATGTTTGTATTAACTATTAGTAATAAACCCCCATAACATTTTTAGACTTCATTTTTTTCAGAGAATCTAGTTTTATGACATCATTATAGAGGTACAGTACAGTATTGGTAATATTCATTGAACTCTTATTGCTAGGGATCAATGTGAGGCTTGATATGAATTCTCTATTTTTCCATGCATTAGTATGGCATGTGTGCACCTACACACATACGAAATTAGCAAAATGCTTTAAAAGGATGCTTCACTGCTGTGTATTCTTGTGTTTTTACCACTAATCCCACCACCCACCATTTTCCACACCTGAGTGATTTTGTATCTCTGTCATTGATACTGATGTACAGCTGACTTTGTGTGCCTCAATCATTTTTATCTTCCAGCTGAACTTACACACTTGTTGAACCTAAACCTGAATTGTGATGTTTTAAGTCGGTGTTATATTGCTGTGAAGAGACACCATGACCAAAGCTCCTCTTTTGGTTCCGTAATCCAGCTGGTTGCCAAGACTGAAACATCCACTACCTGTATTAGACTATTTAAAGAGCCTTTCAGTTGTCCCCCTAAAACAGCTTTTACATCTGTGCAGGTCCTTTTGTCTTGAAGATTCTTCAGTGATTGCAGCTGCCAGTGTAAGACCACCTTTAAGATACAGAGCCACAGAGAGGACACTGGATGTCCATCCGCGCCACTCTAGGTAGGTTTCCATGTGCACACAGCACAACTGTCTCAGTGCTGTACTTGTGTCATAGAATGCTATTCTGACAGGCAACAGCAAACAGCTCTTATTTTTGCCCATTTCTCAAATACTCTAAATATTTCTCTTTTCATGTTAAAGTAGTTACTTTAAAAGACAGTGTTTTCCAAGAGTGTCTGAACTTTCCACTTACTAAGGAAAGATCATATTGAATTGATCTTTATAAGTTATTCAGGAAAAGGGTGATTTCAAAGTAGCTTTATTATATTGTAAATAATGGTGTTTTCCTTGGTGTGTGTGCCACCTATCATGTGCCTTACCATACATCTAGATGCTGTAGTAGATGCTATACCCATGTAAGCATTTTTAAAGAAGTCCAGGATCAAATAAGTTTGGCAAATAATATATTTTCAATTTTCCTGATGCAAATTCATTACATACTTTAGTACATTTAAGTTTCAAGTTTTGATGTTGAAATGGAAAATAACTTTTCCTTCATAGAGCATCTCAAATTTTAGTTAACTATAAAATTCTCTCTGAAAATCTATTAATATCTCTAAGTACTGCATAATTTGATTTATTTTACATTAAATGAGTAGTGTTTAAGTGAGGGTACACATTTACTTCAAGACACCTAAAGACAATCAGGGCAGAATAAAGGCAAGCAAGGCTAAGAATAGTGAATTTGTAGACCATTAACTTTCATGTGAAGTCTCTAAGGCTTAATTTCCTGAGAAAAGGAGCCTATAGATAACCATGCTTAGTTTCATTTCCTGTACCCCTCCCTTCACACTCACATAATAAAAAAGAAAAAGAAAAAGGCATTTTCCTAGCCAGTGCAGAATTTTACTGTGATGAAATACTTGAGGACCAAAATCTCTTGAGTACCAGAGACAGTAAATACAGCGCATTTCAAGACTAAGGACTTGGGATTCTTAGGGAATGCTGAGCTTTCACAAAAGGAACTGCTCAGTGCTCAACTTCCAAAACTACACAAGGAAGTGTAGGCACTAAGGATGCAACTCATTAGTAAAATGCTAGCCTAGCATACACAGTGAGGAAAAAATAATTTACTAATTTTTGTTCACTAGAATTATTAATAATAGGTCTTTTAAATATATAACAAGTTCAAACAAAAATTTTTCCCATTCCCATTTCAGTACTTATACCTATATAAATGAAAAGTCAGATTATAGCAATTCAAATAAATTCTCCGCCAAGCATATGTAAACTTACTGAGAAAAAAAAAGTCCTTAGTAACAGATGTGTGGTCAATAATTTTAACAATGTGTATTTTAAAGTTTTAATTTAAATTTATTAACTTTATTTAAATTTTTGTAACCAGCTAATATGCTAGTACAATCAGTAACATACCAAGTATAAAAATGTTACATTAGATTAAAATTGTGTTAGAAATAAAGAGATCTAGGGATTAAAATGAATAATATAAAAGCTCTAAGAACGTTTCCTTTTTATTAAAATGTTAACTAACAAATTGCTGTTTACACTGCAATGTTTTAAAAATTGATGTTAAGTGTGTAGAAATTATGTCCTTTGTAACTATACAATTGAAAAATATTTGTTGATTAAGAAACATGTCATGATGAATTGCAGGTAAGACTCTGAAGGGAATGTGCATTCTTAAGGTAAAGGACACTTTAGTGATCTTCTCTTCCAACTTGTCCAAATACATGACTGATTTTAAAAGCCATCTTTCTTAGACAAGTCTTTCAATGCTCCAAAAACAGTAAAATATCATATGACAAACATTGTTTTTGAGTTCTTTTGCATTCATTTTAGACATCCATTACTGTGGTAGGTATGCATTAACCTCTCTGGATTTTAAAGTGCACTGCCCATCAGAACTATGTTCTCTGAGAGAGATTACAAACTTTAAAAAGGGAAGGAAACAGCACAGTATTTTCCAGTTACCCTGTCTGAAGACAAACAATAGTGTAGTGACACTGCACTTAGCAGTGTTAAACATACGGGGTGGTGACGGCGCATACCTTTAATCCCAGCACTCGGGGAGGCAGAGACAGGCAAATAGAGCTCTGTGAGTTCAAGGCCATCCTGGTCTACAGATCGAGTTCCAGAAAGACAGGCTCTAAAGCTACAAGGAAACCCTGTCTTACACACACACACACACACACACACACACACACACACATATGGGTTCCAATATGGTAAGAATGTTTACTTCTTCATTTTAATATTTTTTTTAATATGTCATCACAATCTGGGTCATTTTTTAATCTGAGATAGCATTCTAGTCTGTGCATAACCCATAATTTATCTCTTGGCCAGTTGGTGAACAAGAGGACTCAGTATTGCTGAACATGTTGCTAGTCAATGTCATTTTTAATGCAATGCTGAGTGGCCATCCCGACTCATAAACATCTGCTGTAGTTTCATTAGAGATGATAGATAGCTCTGAGGTCAAATGCTTGGTTTTAGTAGATAAAGCAAAGTAGCTGTATAAAAAAGTTGAAAGAGGGTGCTCATTTCCATAAGCCTTCTTTCACTGTGGAAGTTAACAGGCTTTTTGATTTGTCCACATTTCCAAAGCGTAGCACATAAACTCACACATATAAAAAAAGTCTTTGCTTAAAGTGTCATCCTAATGGAACCGTCATGATTTTCCTATTACAATTGGATTACTGTCTTCCAGCATTCAATTTAAACTTCTATCTGTACTAAGCTACTTCTGTTGTTTCCCTTCCCTTATCCCCAGCTGTAGGCTCCAAAAGGCAAAAGATTTTTTTTGTTGTTGTTCACTGATGAACACTGTCTGGCATATAATAGGTCCTCATGGCAGTTTTCCAATACACATTTCAGTAATATATGTTTGTTCTCTTTTGATTCATCCATCTCTGGTTTTGTATACATCCCATCTGCATTGATAATCTGCTTAGAAGTAGTCATAACTCCTTAAAAATCACTACACCCTACAAAACACTTGTGTTTGGAGAGTAGCAGACTGCTATGAGAAAAAAGAAAGAAAAGAATGTTCCTTCTTATTCTAGACTCCAAGGGCAATTATGAAAAGTGAGTATCCTGGCCAACGCTAGCCATTAGATCTCCACCTTGCTTATTTTAGCCCTTCCCTTCCTGTTTCTCTCCTGTCAAGGCCTAAGGGGCATAGAACAAGAATCAGTCCTACTAAAGCAGAAACCGCCTAAGCAAACGAGGGCACTGATGTTACCCTCACAAGTGTCAACACATTCTTTGCCAGTCCTTTAGCCTCACACCCTTTCCACTAACAATGGCTCAGTCAAACAGATGAACACCAAGTATCATTGTTTTCCTCCGGCTGTATTTTGGATGTGTAAGAGGTAAAAACCAAAGGAAAACAAAGAGTAGTGATTTAATTATACAAAGCTGAAGTTGTTCTTTCTGTAAACAGCTAAAACTTAACCTACCATGATAGGCAGCATCTTGCTTGCATGAAGGAAACTAGTTACTATGCTTTACTTTTCTCAGTCAGTAATGCCAGTCCTTTTCTGTGGCATGTCAGATCTGATGCAGGCACAGGATTTTCATTGTGATGTTTTTAATGGAGATACGAGGAGGTTCAGTAGCTATATTCATTTAATTAGGGATATGCACTGCTATTAGTCTTCCACCCAACATTGAAGAAAAAGGCTTGAGTATTAAGTTTCGGGCCTAAATAGGAAGGAAAAATGTATTTGGGGCTGTGCATTCTAAGGAAATTGCATGGTGTACTTACCCCACTCCATTTAGTGAAGAATTGCTTTCCTGGCCTATTCCTTACATCATCTACTCTCCCTGATAGAACAGAGAGAGAACAGGAATAAAGTTTGAAGACAGGAGTTCTGAAAAACAGATAGAGGTTCTCAGGAACCTAGACATTCCAGAGTAATTTGGATGAGAAGATAATCAGTTGAAGAAGAACATAAAGTAGAAAACTTATATTAGGAATGTCTAAGGAGTGGAACAAGAATGACAAAGAACAAAAGCAGCTTCACTTGGTTATAATTAATTTGCAGTGGGTGGAAAAGCAGGCACCAAGCCAGCATCACCACTTTATAAATAATAAATCTTGGTAGTAACATTGTGAAAGACATAGTAAGGTTGCATCAGTGTAGTGAAACATCACTGAATGGGTGGCACTGTCTAGAAAAGCGTACTTAGAAAGGCACCATTCTACAACTTGATCCAGGAACTTAGAGCAGACAGTATGGCTGTAATCTGGAACAAGTGTTACTGGCTTAGATAGCCATACTACAGAAACATGTACCCTGGTCCTTTAGCATACAGTATCTCAGTGGAACTACTAAAGCATACTTCATGTCTATTTCATAGCTTGCTTACCCACTGTGTTGCTTCTTTACAGATTACAGCTGAGCAACACAGAATTGAAAGGTAGGAATCAGCTGTCAGCAACGTAAGAAGGTGGTTAGGAAATGTTGCCTGTTACCACCTCGTCATCTCCGCCTCATCCCTTTTCAGTTGGTAGTTAGATTGGTGTTAGTGTCTTCTCCAGAGAGAAGCTGTTGGTAAACTAAGATGCCTTATTATATGCCTTTTATCAACTGAATTTCCTTTTTTAAAAAAAGAAAACATGCCAGGCAATGGTGGTGCACACTATTAATCCCAGCATTTGAGAGGCAGAAGTAGGTGGGTCTCTGCGACTTTGAGGTCAGTCTGGTCAACAGATGAGTTCTAGAACAGCCAGGGCTGTTACACAGAGAAACCCTGTCTCAGAAAACAAAATAGAAACAAACAAACAAAAAAAGCAAAAGGAAAAAAGAGAACTGAAGTTTTACAAATTTTTTCCTAGGATGAAAAAAGTTAGAATGCTTAACATTCCAATTACTATTGAATAAAGACTGACGAGATCTAGATACACGTAAAATGTCTCAGCCTTATTTCAGAGAACCACAGAAAACTGCTGAGGAAATCTTACAGATAGGGCTCTTTACTTTCTATAGTATTTGTTTCAGCTATGGTCGCCAGGGATTCTTTGGGAATTTTAATGTCAGTAACTGATTTTTCATTGAAGGAGCAAAAGCACTGTATCCAGCAGTTACAGATGGCAGAAGTGAAGTCGATGTTCCGGGAAGTCCTTCCAAAACAAGGTATATCTCACAAGTATTTCGTTGTAGATGACTAGAGACTTACCTGGTGATGAGTATCTCACAGCAGAATAGCTAAGTATCTGCGTCTTCTGGAGTTACATGCCTCACTTACAGTCCACTGTCACTTATATTTTTCTTGAGTAGGTTGTAAAAAAATTCTCACTTTTCTCAACAAAGGATACCAAATTAAGTACTGTTTCTTGTAACTATAAATCTTACTGTACTAAGCTGGGCTATATTGAAGTCCAGCTCTTATTTCCTAACTCTTCTGCAGTGTTAAGAAATGTTGCTTGTGGGATTACTGCTTTGTCAGTCTAGGAGCAGAAACTTTTTTCATTGGCAGTAGTATTTTGGACTTACATTTTAGTTACAAATCAAAACCACCAAGCATCTTCCTCTGCTGTGGGATAAGGCTCTTGTGATTCAATAAAACGCTGATTGGCCTGTAGTCAGGCAGGAAGTATAGGGATGATCAGACTAGAATAACTCTGGGAAGAGGAAAGGCTCAGTCTGAGGTAACCAACCAGACGCAGAGAAAGCAAGATGAAAATGTTGCACTGAGAAAAGGTACCAAGCCACGTGGCTAAACATAGATAATAATTATGAGTTAATTTAAGTTGTAAGAGCTAGTTAATAATAAGCCTGAGCTAATAGGCCAAACCGTTTATAATTAATGAACGGTTATTTATTTGTGTTTATTTGCAACTGAGCAGCTGCGGGACTGGGTAGGACAAAAACTTCGGTCTACATTCCTCAAATTAATTTCTTATTTCTTATTAATAGGGCAGTTGTCTGTAGAAGATGTAACCACAATGGTACTGTGTAAACCCAAGCTTTTACCCTTAAAATCTCTGACTCTGGAAAAACTGGAGAAAATGCAGCAAGCAGCACAGGATACAATCCGCCAACAAGAAATGGCAGAAAAAGAAGACCGGCAAATAGCCCACTGACTAGTACCACTTTAAGGGGACAACCCATCTCACCTGTTCAGGAACTAGAAACTATTCTGCATCTATAGGCTGAAAATACATAATCAAACTGGACATTCATAATTTTAAAAAACATAATTTGGGAACTTAAACATTGGCTTGTGTTAAAAAGAAAACTTTGAATGATGTTTTATGGGATCTTTAAAAGGTTTTTAAAATTATAAACTACCTTATTCACCCTACCTACTGTAGTAGTGTTAGAGATTAGATGTGTCTTTTCTGGATGAAGGGTTCCTCATCTTTTTAGACACCTAAATCTGAAAATAAACTTTATTCTTAAATATACTGTTACCCAGAAACAAATTTAACCAGTTGTGTACCATGTCATGCTTAATGGTATGTACCCTGACCATAATGACAGCAGTAATAACAAAACTGGTTTCTTAACAAATTTGATTTTTTAAAAAACCTTCAGCTATTTTGGAGTCAACTAAGCTTTTAATTACACTAATTTTAAGAAACAGAGAATTACAAAAGTGTTGATTACCAAATACAAAAACCTAGAAATGCTTATTTTAGCCATCACAGTAATAAACCAATAAAATAAATATGAGCTTTAAAAAACACTAGAGGGTTTTCTTTCTAAAAGCCTACCTAGCCTTGTAACCAAGAAAATATTTTGGAAATTATAAACATAATGGTTGATTGCAGTCACTAGACTTCTTCAATTGCCACAGACTTTGAAACCTTGCTAAGTAATTAGCCTTTATAAAAGAGGCTAATATGATCTCCCTTTAAAGTAAATTATTTATTGGTAATTACACAGATATTTAGATAAATGTAAAGCTTTAAGTAGAATACTTTTTTATTTAAGAGAATACTTTTTTCTTCCATGAGCAACTTTTCTTACCTGAATAAACTCTCTGAAGTCAAGGAATCTAAAATCATAGTTAAAATATGCTTCAAATTTCTATACTGTAATTCTGTCAAGATATCCAACTGTTCTATTCCCATCTTCTTGTCAATCAGTCCAGTCAGAACACACTGCAGTCTATTTCCCCCTCATCCCTTTCCTCGAAGAATGGTCATCTTCCTGCTGGAATCTCTTCTTTTTGCTTTTAATAAAGAGCTCATGCACTAAATGCAAGGCTGGGGTATTTGATAAGTTCTTAAAGCTTAAAGCCCAACCCCCTGATCTTCTCACTGGAGCCTTGCTGACCCTCTGAGGTGCCTGAAGCAGCACCTACTCATTTCAGAGTAGGGAGGAACCATCTGCTTTTCATCTTCCATTTCTGACTGGGAGCCTTGCTCCCAGAGAGTGGACAGTCTTCTCAACCTTCCAGGATGCTTTGGCTTTTTTACAAGGTCCCCCACTCTGGGAGTCCCCTTCTGAAACAGTTCCTGCAAAGACCCCTCTTGGTCAGAAATGGAATTTTCTGACTTATTCCAGGTAAGGGAGCTAAAACCACTCTTTCTGGGTGCTGAAACACTGTTTCTCACTTCTGCTGAAGAAAGCGTTTGGCTTCCCTTAAATCCAGTTTTTGGTATGAGACTACTTATTGGAGTTACACACATGGTTACCTCTGCTCCATAGGTTGTCTGGCCCAGTTCAGGACATTTATTCTCATCCCTAACACTAAAACTGCTGTCGCTAAAGTCGTGTGTGATAGAACCTTTGAAATCATTGCTTTGAATTGGAGACAGACATTCCACTCCAAATAAGCCACACTCTCCCATGGAACCATCAACTGTAGAAGTCTTGTTCTGAGAAAAACTTAACCTCAACTTCTGACTGCTAGAAGTACCATCCTGCTGAAGTTGTCCCATTTTGAGAAACGCTTTTCTAGGCTAACAACGTGGCTTATGTTGTTTTCCAGAGACCAGCTTTGTGGATCCGAATCCCCTTTCAGAAAAGCGAAAGTTAAGTTGAGCCGCCTGCATAATGAACATGTTTTCCTTCTGAAGGAGATACTTTTTTAGACATTAACAGAATTTAAGGATAAGAGCTGTTTATATATTAGACAAACTTCATTCAACTCCAGCTCAGATCAATAAACAAAAATAAAGTGTGCACATGTATTTCCCCAGTATAACCTTAGGTTTTTCAACTATCACACTGCTCTAAGATTTGTAAGTGTCTGTGTTTGTGCCACCTATATGCAGGTGTCCATAGAAGTCACAAGAGGACATCTGATACTCCAGAAAACTCAAGTTCCTGAAGGTTGTGAGCTGCACGATATGGGTGCTAGGAATCCAACTTGGGTCCTATGAAAGAGCAGCAGGTGCTTACTACTGCTTAGTTATCTCTCTAGTCCTGTTTTATTATTATTATTAATGTTTGAAGGTTAAAATAAAAAAAGAGTTTGTAATAACTTGAATTCACTAAGATCGAGTGTACTTGTTCTGAAAGCCAGGCAAGATGGTCCGTGCCTTTATTCCCAGCACTCAGGACACAGAGGAGACACAGAAAGACTACCATGAGTTTGAGGACACAGGCCAGCCAGAGCTACATAACCAGACTCTGTCTCAAGAAACAACAAAGCATTTTTTTTGTCTTGCACTTTGGGAATGAATACAAGGCCTAATGAAGTTTAGACAAGAAACCTAAAAGAAGTTTTCAACACACAAAATAAATGTACTCCCACTAAAGAATCAACACTGCTTCACGTTTTATTTTGTTGTACATTCTTGTAGAACCGGTTCATTTTTCCAGTTTTGTAGAAAAATAGATGTTCCAGCCACCATTTACTTAACTGTCTAGTATTTAAGACCAATCAATATGTTCCCTGGAAAGATGAAAAAGTCTCATGACTAACTCGTCTTTTAAAAATTCTTTTTAGAACAGAAGTGTGTGTGTGTGTGTGTGTGTGTGTGTGTGTGTGTGTTAGTTAGAGATGTGTGTAGGGTAAGTATGTATGTGTGTGTTTATTCCCGAAGCACAGCATTTCCACAGCAGCAGCCAACATGGGGCTTAGTAGCTTCACTTCACCCCTAACTAAAGCTTTGTATAAACCAGTGATTTTACTACAAAAAACACTGTCCTTGAAAGAAAGGAGTGGCAGTCAGACAACAATGCAAAACCTGGAATGATTAGGTCATAAACATGGCACTTAAGAAAAAGTAGCTTATCAGAATATTCCACATTTAAGTGGTTACTCTTCTGTCCCTCCTTTAGTTTCCCCTCAAAGGAAAAAAAAAAAACTTCCTTCAAAAATCCCCATTAAATGTAAGTTTATAAAATTTCAGAAATGCCTTGTACCCAAAAAAAAAAAAAAAAAAAAAAAAAGAAGAGAAAAAAAAAACCTGCACTAACAACTCTTACAGTTCAGATCTGCCGCTATCCCAGCTAAGACTGCAAGAGCTCTGCCTTCAGTAGCTCTCTGGTTTAAGACGACCTCCATCTCCTTCACTTACAAAACGCTTTCTTCCCCTGTAATGAAAAGGACAAAAACAAAAGCAGGTAAAAATCTGACTCGAAAAACATTAAAACCTTGACATCTTTGTTTATACATTTAGACATAAAGAGTTCTGCTGTTTAAGGCCAGTGTGTCTGAATTCCTTTGAAAAGATATTTTTTAACTACTAGAAACCTTAGCCTTAAAAATCATTAGATAAAGAGCAAGTATGAGGAGCTTAGAGAAACAATCACTAATGAATTTTCTTTGTCTGTTAGTTGTAATAACAGTTAAAATACAAAACAGACATTTTACTTAGACTTCAGTATTTATTTCTATCTTATTTGAAAGCAAGCGAGCCAAACAGAAAGTGATTCAAAGAAAGTAAAGGCTCTTGCCACCAAACCTGATCCAACATGGTGGAGGTACATAATGAAATCCCAGAAGTTGACCTCTGACCTCCATATATGTACCATGATATGAACACACAAGTCCACATAAACAGAAAATATCACCAAAATGTTTAATAACTAAATTTCCCTTAGCCTTAATAAAGTCCTAACCTATAGACAACCAAAGGTAATCTGATTTCTTTAGCCTATGTGCCTCACTAAGGGAAGGCTGACTGTGGTTTGGAAACTCAAGAAACCCCTCTATTCCAGCCACTGCACTCCAGCTACTGCAGCAGCACTCTCCCCAAAGAACAGTCAGCCAGCAGCCTACATCAGTAGGTATAGGCAGACCTATTGCAGAATTAGCCCCTGCTCTCTGCCCCAAGCATGCAAGATCACAAGTGCATGTGTATTTAACACACAAACACAAACGTCAAAGTTGTATGGTATTACGTTACACAACTGTAGGAACTCTTCATTGACTCCAGAGTTAAAGCCCCCATAGAAAATAACCAAACTTTCAAACACAAGCTTTAAAAGAATCTTAAAAAGCAACCATAAGGTACTGAGACAGGAATCTGCTCTGTGTCCTTAAACTGAGGACTACACTAAGACCAGAGTGGGATGAAACAGTGAAGACAAAAGGTCTCGTCAGGGTGGTCCATTAAGGTGGTGGTTTCCACTGATGTTGTGTGACGTATGGCATCTAGCCATGATCTGCATTTCCAGAGATTTCTACGCCTCCACCTTCTCCTCTCTGAGCCTCTAAACTTTAGTAGTAGTTTTTCTGAGAACAAACAAAAATGTATATAAAACATGTCTGGCTACAGCTAAGTCTTTAACTTGCTACACTATCACCTTATTAAGGGGAAAAGCCCTTATCAACTCTTTTAAATTATATCCCAGTGGTACAAATATAATTCCTTAAAGAGAAAAACAATCCTACAGTAAGTGTCTGTTCTTCATTACGTGAAGCAAAGAAAGCCACTGCCAAGTACAGGAAAGCATTTAGACCTTAAGTCTAGAAAGTCTGAATTCATACTTTGCCAATACAAGGCACTAGTCATGAGACCTTGAAGGTTCATTAAATAATCTTCAATTTTCTTGTGTTTCTGGTGATAGTATCTACTCTGAAATAACATTTACTAACATCCTGGTAAACATCTACACTGTATAAAATTAGCTCCCTCCAAATGGTAGTCCTGTCCACAGTTGCAAGAGTACAAGCAAGCTTAAACTCTTAAGTAGACAGTTCTTGGCCTCCAGTCACTTCAAGAAAGACACTACTTCATTTCCATGACAGCAGAATGACAAACACACACATACACACACACACAACTTAGCTCCCCAACTATCTCATTCAGTACTTTACAATGAGAAAGTAGTATTTAAATACAATACCTTGATGGACAAAGATCTCGGACTTGTTTGGAAATGATTCCAGCCTGAAAACATTCCTCCACAAATCTCTCCAGCACAGAGTATGAGTGTGGAACATCCAGATTGATATCTGGAATTTCATTGTAAATTCTCTCATAACCCTAGAACAAAATTACAGATACAATTGTTAACCCTGCATAAAAATTATGATGTCATGAAACAACCCACCATTATATTATAAACTGATACAGTGCAAACTGGCAAAAACAAGTGAATAACTGAACCTTGAAAATAAAGTATATTTGCTTTCTTTAAAACTTCTCTAAAAAACACCAGCAAATGTCAAACAATGAGCAAATTCCCTATCTATTCCTCCATCTACATTTACTATTTTGTATATAAGATAGTGTCACCATTTAAAAAACATGTACAACTTAAATAGGAAAA